CAAAGCTCTGCACGAAGGAATCTTGCTCTTTAGCAAAGCGCTCGTATTCTTTCCCATAAACAATTAAACAAACAAGAAAATTTAATAAATGAAAAGAATACTATTTTCAGAAATAAATCTAAATTTTCTGTGCAAATAACAAGAATTACCATCACTTAGGACATAAGATGTCATACTCACAAATAAACCTTCTCTCCTTTGACACCGGTTTCCCGGAAAACCGTACATTTTCTGAAAGCTTATGTCACAAGCAGAAAGACTATGAAATCTTAAGAACAGAGGGGCAAGCGTGTAGGAGCTAAAGGGCCCACAAAATATCAGAAAAATGTTGGAAACGTGACAACAAATTCGCTAAAATGATCGTTTCGCTTGTTTATATGAAGTAATAAATATGGTAAGAAGGTGGGTATCTCAATATGAAGGAAGAAACAACTCGTTGAAAAGAAACATTATACGTTGGGATGTCGAAAATGTGACTTGTTATTGACTTCAAATAAAATCTACAAGGTGTGTTCGAAAAGTTCCATGAATTTTATCATAAAAAAAGGAAACAAGAGAAACAAGCAAAATAGCTTTACTGGCCTTCAAAGTATTCGCTATTAGCAACAATACACTTTTGACATCGGGTGTTGGAAACTGTCTGCAAACGCTTCTTTCGGTATGGCTCGAAGCACCGTTGTCACACGTTGTTGGATCTCAGTAATGTCGGAAAAATGTTGCCCTTTCAGAACTCCTTTGAGGCGGGGAAACAGGAGAAGTCCGCGGGAGCCAGATCTGGAGAATATGGAGGGTGATCCAAAACTGGAACCTGGTGCCTGTCGAGGAATTGGATTACATGGATCGCAGTGTGCGGCCGGGTGTTGTCATGGAGCAGATTTCCTGACCGTAAACTTTCAGTAACATGTCATGTGTCTCCGTCGCCGTTTTGCCTAACTTGAAGCAAAACTTTATGTTTATGCGTTGCTCCATGTCACACTGACAATCTTTCTCACACTGACTGTGTTAAACTGCTCATAGCGTGCTCTTCCTCTTATCTGTCGTAAAATGGCCGTTAGATGGCTTTAGATGACATTTCTCTCACTGCGTCTGCGTGAGTGCAAGATCCTAACCAGTGCGGTTTTTTAATTATGAGACCAATCACCGAACTTTTCGAACACACCTTGTATTACAAGAAACAATCAATGTGCATTTCATCCAATAAACAGGAAGACAGGCAGGAAAACAGTTCACAATGGGCACATTTTACAAAAGCGATAGCCGCACACTTCGCACACTCATTATTTGTCAACGAATCGAAGCAGTAATCCATTGGCACAATCCACATTCCAGGTTCGTTGTCCAAGTATCTGTCTTATAAAAAAGCATACTTAGTCAAGTTCTTAAAATGAGGAGCGCTGAATTGATATAGTGAAAAGGACTGCAGGGCCAGAAAACTATCGCGATGCCAAATGTGCTGCTGTGTCTCGATAACAATTGTGCCCGTTATGTAACGAACAAAAGACTTGTAGTGTCTGAAAAATGAATATCTTGTGACTGGATCTTTCCCGTAAATTCTTCAGGTACCAGTTCTTTCTGTAGGACTTTACCATCAGGTACTTCGGAAGCAGACAATGCATGAACATACAAGAAATAGAGACGCCATTACCGAAACATGTCCATCTATACACACTTAAGTGATATTTTGTGGGTTCCATAGATCCTAAACGCTTGTCCCTCTGCCACTAAGACTTCACAGTTTTTCTACTTGTGATATAAAATGTAATGTTTGGGTTCCCGGAAAACGGGTATCAAAGGAAAGAAGGTTTACTTGTCAGAGAAAGCCATTTTATAGATTTTTTATTGCCAAGTGCAGGAAACGAATTCTTCATTGCCATTAAACGGAACATTAATTAACGTATACGAGAGTCATCTAACTCGTAAACCATATTTAATAGAATGAAGATAAATTTTGGTATACTATTTTGTATTTTCCTCATAAATAATGATCCACATTTTTACGGTAGACATGTAAGACTTGTTTTAATTAACACGATTGTGATTATGTTAAATCTGTTCTACATTTCTACTGTTTCTACTTCCACCAGAATATGTACACGAAACGTGTTTTAAAAAAAGAAGTATCTCCGTCAAGAAAGAAGGGACTAGCATCGGCTTGTGTCGAATGCAAAGAGAGTGACAGCGCGCTTTTACTCTGTATCAGATAAAAGAATGTCTGGAACAACAAAAAGAAAATATGAAGAATCAAGATGGTGAATAAGATATTTCACTTAGCCGCCATCAGTCGGCGAAGAAAGATGAAATGAATGAAAATAGACCAGCAATGTGAAAAAAAGTTGGATCAGTAAGATAGTAGGTACTTCAAATAATTAACAAAATGTTAGGTTAGAATATCCGAAGGATATTTGTGTTTTGCTCTAGGAAAAGGTGAGCATCGCAAAGAGCTGATCGCAAAGAGCTCTAGGAAAAGGTGAGCATCGCAAGCTGTTTGGATGTAATAGTTCAGAAAGGAAAAAATTTCTTGCAAGTTTTTTTTATATAATTTTGTATAGTATCAATTTGAAAATCTCTGTGAATATATGAATTTGGGATGAACCAGGGTGCATTAATAATTTCACGAAGGGTTTTATTTTGAATAACTTGGATCTTTTTCATGTGGGTTTTAGCGGCGTGTCCCCATACCGGATTGGCGTAAAGTAAAGTAGGTCTAAGGATGGAGTTGTATAAAATAAGCTTATTGTTGATAGTCAGATTGCTATGTGTGCCGAGGAGAGGACGCATAGTAGCTATTGAGATATTGAATTTCCTGACAGTTTCGTGTAAATGTTTCCGAAAAGATAGTTTTTTGTCAAGTGTGACTCCGAGATACTTCACTTGATCCGTCCACTGAATTTCGTCGTCAAAGAAGATGGGATTAGACGAAAGGAAGTTTGTTTGTCCATTTCTGAAAATAATGGCTTTGTTTTTGTCAGTGTTAACGGCAATTCTCCACATCGTCATCCAGTTTTCAAGAAGCTCCAAATAGTTTTGTAGAAAAATTTGTATAGTATTGATGGTTGAAGCTTGAGATAGGATAGCGGTATCGTCGGCAAATAAGGCGATAGAAATATGAGATTCATTTCAAATGTCTTAAGTATAAATATTGTAAAATAAAGGAGAGAGAATGAAGCCTTGAGGGACACCTGCAGTAATATTTCTAGTAGTTGAGAGGGTGTTTCCAACTTTGACAGCAAAAGTGCGATTTCTGAGGTAAGAGGCAATAAGAGACTAACATCGGCCGAACCTAAAAGCAACTTCTCTGGGTATATCTAATGCGGAGAAGGAAACCTTTGATCTGCTGAGTCTTTCTTTCTGCGTACTGCATGGCAGGTAATTTATACGTCAAATTTTTCGAGGCAGTTATTATGATAGATTTAATTTGTGAACTGTATATAATACGAAACTACGTGTTATCTGTTATTTTCAGGAACAGTAAAAGTAAATATGTGTTAAGTTCGTTTCGCAGATTAAGTGGTCTAGAAAAAATTCTAATTTATGCTACTGTTCTAATTAAATTAGAATAAATTCTAATTTATGCTAATTTATACTACATTCAGCTCGCTGAGACTAGTAAAACCTGAGACCAGAATTCTTCTTTGAAGCCTAAAGGTTAAATTGTAAATAGTTTAGTTTATATATTGTAAGTTAATAAAGTATAAATAGTATATGTGATTCATATTGTATTAATTAAAATTAATAAAGCTACTACTCATTGAAGATTCAATACAAAAAAATAAAATAAAAAATATTCTGAAAGGGTTCAGATTTTATCGATTGTCCAAAAGAACTTGTTCAGGGTTTTTATGCTCTTGTTGAGTTCACTGTCTACCTGTCTGCTATAGTACTCACTCCTGCTAACTCACTTTTTTTTTGTTTTTTGCCTCTTTATTATTAAGCACCATTTTATTAGTAAGCATCATCGAATTTATGCCATATGAAATTCAACGAGAAAAAGGACAAAAATTTTAAAAACAGCATAATAACGTATGTTTAGAATATCCGATGCAATGTTAATTGTTGGCGTACTTTTTTATATTTTTCTTAATATTTTCTCAATTCATCATAACAATGTTCAGTTTTCTTGGTAAGACGACTTGTAAAACATTTTTTTTCTTTTTTGTATTTTTATTAATAATGATTTTTGTGTTAGCATTATTTATAAAATCTCATATTCTTCAAATTCAAATCAACAGCAAAATCACAAAATAGATAAAAATAACATACTTTAGAATTCTATGTACAGCCTCGCGCCCTGAAGATAAAAATGTTTTATTCCGTACAGTGTTGCCACTGATCGCTTTGAAATCGGTAAGTTTGTCAATCAAAAATTCATTAAAGTTTTACAAAATATGAAATATAAAATCGGAAATTTAAATTTCGGGCTTCCACGTGCACATGTTCGAGTGGAGGAGAACGTTATTCAAAATTTAATGGCTCTAGGTACCTTCGCTTTTTTTACAATTCGAGGAACATTTATGCAACTTCTTCATTATTTAATTTCTTTAAAGACAATACAAAGCGATAGCATTTGGTGGCAACAATTTGAAAAATGATTCTCCTGGACAATGCAAAATCCCGTTTCGAGACCAATAGCCCATTCGAGATAACGCGCCTTTGGGTTAAAAAACTCATAGGTATATCTATTCGAACAAAGATGTGTCTTGTTAAGTAAAAGCAAAAGTTTTTTTCCTGATTAAAGGAAATTTCACATGGTATTTTGCATGTAAGGAATAATTGTAATCATGTCTGTCTTCTGAAGTCAACTGTTAGTCCAGATGCAGGCTTTGGTCTTCACAAGTTTGTTTCATGTTAGCATATTTACACTTGCTCAAAACGTCATCTACAACATTTTAAAGACAATACAGTTTTCGTTTCATTGCCAAAATGGCTTAATTGAGAAAAGAACGCCAGTGATATCATTAAATGACTAATTACGTGAATAATGTAGAAATCAAACATTAAAAAAATGGAAAGGTATTTTATAAAAAACATTTATTAACATTATTCAAGGAAGTAGAGAAGCTAATGTCTTTTCCGAATATTCAGTCTCTTCCTCATCCACAAATGTCACTTTTGCTTTCAGTCCTCTTCCAGCTTGAGCTTTCTCATTAGTGTCAATGATGATGATGAATTCGCACTCGGCAGATGTCGCCACTGTACCTGGCGGTATATCTTCACCACAAAACCTGCATGTCCAATGATAAATATTTAAAACCAAAAATGTAAAATCAATTAAAAACAATAAACAATAAATAAGGAAAGGAAATAAAAATAAATAAACAAATACTTCGAGTGATTACTCTATAAATTCAACTATTGGTTGAGATAAAATATTTTACACTAAAGCAGTTCTATTTTATATGAAACTGAAATTTTGAATTAAATTTAAACTAGTAAGTAAAAAAAATCTAAAATATTCAAATTTTAATGTAATACATTACGTATTGAATAAATAAGAAATCAAATTTGAATATTAATGATGGTTGATAAGAACAAATACGATTAAAATAAAGTCCCCTCAATGCAATTGTTTACTATTGTAATTAACACTCAACTTTTCCCTTTCTCGAAGGCAGATTACACGAATACAAATAAATTTCCCTTAAAGAATCCTTTACGAAAGCATCCTCCTATGCTTTGCCATAATCCAAATAACCTAATTCAACTGAAAGCTGATTAACTGAAACACATCACATCTTTCTCTATTTTTTTATCCCAGTAAATATCTGATAATTTCGTACATTAAATTGAATAAAATGCAAAAAATATTTGAAAGCTTTCAGATTTTACATTGAGCTCAAGGGGACTTTTTTAACCTTTGTTTATTAAATATCATGTTCTTTTCACAAGTGAAAAGAACATGATATGGTTCAAGAACCATAAAATTCAAGTCAACAGCAATATCGCAAAATAATTTTAAAATATGCATATCTTTAGAATTTTCGATACACAATCTCATGCGCTGGAGATAAAAATGTTCTTTTCCGTAAAGTGTTGCCATTTGTGTCGTTTTGAAATCATTGAGTTCCTCAATTAAAAATTCGTTAAAGTTTTCTAAAATATGAAATTGATAATAAATTATTTATATTATTAATTTGAAAAAATTATTATTAATTATAATTTTTTTAAAGAATTACATATGTATGAGAAGGACGAAACACAATATCTGACCAACTGAGGGAAAGATAAGTTAAGCTAATTCCCTCTGATGAATCGGCATTGTGTTATTGACTTTTCAAGTGTTCATGTTTCTAAAATTTCAAATTTACTAAAAAAATTTTTAACTCATGTATTGGACGTAATTTTAAATTGTATTTACTTCAACTGCTAGCTCTTGCTTGACAGTTAGGAGATTTATTATATTTACCAAATTTACTTCTTTTTCAATCTCTTTTAGTTTAGTTATTCTAAGTACCTATAATTTAAAATTTGGTTAAATTTAATCCTGTATTCACCTTCATTGCAGTTGGTGCAAAAAACTGCAATGTTAATCAGGGTTAACAGTCCCGGTGGTGCAGTGGCTAGCGCAACGCGCAAGTCCCGCGTTCGAACCCCGGGCTGGGCAAGGTCGACTTCGCCTTTTATCCCTTGGGTCGAGAAAATGAGTACCAAGTTCGCTGGGAACCTATACATTGGAGGTCCTGCGACAAGATCACTTGTTGAGGGTATATGACCACTTGTTCAGTGCATATGCTTACGCACCCCAGGGCCCATGGTTAAGAAAGCAGATTTCGGGACATTGCAGGGCTTGGCTATTTGCGCCATGGAATTTAGATTTTAGTTTTAGTTTAATCAGGTTTAACATTTGATTCGACCCTGAAATTCTTAATTTTTTGCGAAATATGCTCAATTTACTAGGAGTTATATTTATTTTTAATATCATTATATATATATGATATTTTGGCAAATTGGCACATGAATGAAGCTTGGTATCAAAATCCGGACATTGTTGTGGCTGAGTGGCTTACAGAAGAATCACAACACAGAAGAACTGAACTTTAATTGCACATCTTTCTTCAATTCAAATGTCATTATTCTTTTAGATTCTCCAAGATTACATATGCTATAGTAATTTAAAATAAATAGGTTTAACATTATATTTACTGCGTCATATTGTTCAAGCAAAGGAAGGCAGACGAGAAGAGCGGCAGCAAAAGGTCTGATAGCCGCAGGAGGAGAAAAGTAGTCTGCTTAAAAAAAATGGCGCGAACTCTGCATTTATATAGTAGCGATTACATAAGAAGCCAGAATATTCTCGAAAGTACTGGTCTAGGGGAAAGAGCTGGAAATTGAGGAAAGTTAATTAAAGGTTGCCTGTTCGCGTAAAACAAAGCCATCGTATTTTTTACATTTTACATACATACATATATAATTCAAGAACGCAAAACTAAAAACGAAAACGAAAATACCACTTAAATATTTTTGAAGGTTAACCTATTACTTACATTAAACAAAATGAATAAACACAAATTAAAGAAAAATGCCATAATAAAAACAAAAATTACGGTTCAACTAGAAAAAATTGGGAAAGAGTACATATAAAACCAAAACAATAAAATGATTATATATGTATATTAGTAGTCAGTTTGGCACAATGTTATGTTTTATTCTTCTTTCCAACTGTTTCGAAGGCGTATAGGGAAAATTCTGGTACATTTGAGACTCGAGTTTTTGGTTTTATATTAATTTTAATGTCTTAATTGAAAATTTAATAAATTCCTTTTTTCGATTTTTGATCTCAAATTAACCAGAAGAACGAAACACCTTTTCGAAACATATTAATCGACTTGTATGAAGCTTTAATTCATTTCCCCTGATAAGTTCTGATATGGAGTTTCAGGAAAAGGAAATTAGTTTTTATATTTTTGTTTTTCGTATATTTTTGTCCCTTTTGCATTTTTATTTTTAGAGTTTGTACTTCTATTAATCCCTATTTAAATTTTGATTTGTTTTGGATATTGTGTTAAACCTCTTATACACTATAGCAATTATTAATATTCTTGAGGAATTGCCTTGCTTTGACGCCAATTTACTTTGGATGCTTTAAGTTCATTTTACTTCAATCCTGCAGCTATAGCGCAGGACGGGTATAAAAATTGTGTTTTTAATTTTTAGCCTCTTTAGCCTTTTTTATGTCTTTATATAAAGACACATAAAAAGAGGCTAAAAATTAAAAACAAAATTTATGTATATATATATACATATATAGGAATATATGGTCAAAAGTGAAAGAAGCAACACAGGCAAGAACAAATGATAGGGAAAGTGTTTTATTTTCATAACCTCGTTTACAAGTAGAAATTAATTTACAAAATTAATTTAAATTAAAAATTAATTAAAATTATTTAAAAATTAAGTAAAATTAATTTACAAAATGGGATTGTTACAATTTCCTGTACCAGCCCTCAAAGTGTATACAGTAAATTAGCAGCTGTATAATGAACAAAGTAAATGTAGAGGTGTGTGTGCGTATATACATAATGAACAAAGTGAATGTAAAAGTATATATATAGTTTAATCAATTTTAAATTCGTAGTGTATCTAAAATCATTACTTAACTCATTATAGTCTTTGCTACTTTACAAGCGTATACATAGTTTTTCCATTTCAAACATTTTTGATGCTGTTTTGTTTCAATTTTTAAGAACTAAACCTCTATTTGTTATTTTTATTTTTATTTTATATTTTTTAGATAAATTTTTATTTATGTTTTTTTTTAATTTTACATATGTGGGGATTACGTCCTGTTTTACATATTTTTGGAGTTGATCCATTCAAATTGAAAATTTTTATTAGATTTTTAAAGTTTTTTTGTTTGTTTATGAATTTTGCTATTATTTTTTTACCCAGCCTGTATATTTTTATAGTTTTCATATAGTTTTTTTTTCTATTGTTGGATCATTATCTTTGAAAGTTTTGTTTTAAAGACTCGAACTTCGAACTGCTTACTTCCGCATATAGGGGTTAGACTGACAGACATAGATAACTTTGATTTGTTTTCTAAGGTTATTGCATTTCTAATGTTATTTTTAAATTTTAAACTTTAATTTGTATCTTTGTGAGTTCAAAAACAGTCTTTCGTTCCACCGACCCCTGATGAGGATGCAGCAAACGATGCAAATAACATTTTTTATTTTTGTTTTTGGCATATTTTGCCTCCCTATTCCTTGAGGCTTGACACTTGATTCTGGTTTTTGGTATTTGCATGCGACTTATTCCGAATTGAATATGGAATGAATTTTAAACCTATTTTTTATTTTATTTCATTTTACATTATATATGTCATTATAGAAGATGAATTAATTTCGTACATAAATAATAATTAGTTATTATAATACATAATTAATAAATAAAAATTCGTTCTTACATATCTCCGTCGTATCTACTTCTAGTTCTGATTTCTACTCTTTCCTTTACACATTTCTGATTGAATATGGTCTTATTAGACTCCATACGAGGATGAAAGCTGAAGTCTATGAATTCAACTTGGACTCTTTTACCTTCAGGCGCCTACATTTGAAAAAAAATGAAATATAACCGTGATATTCATTTCTTTTGATAAGTTTTTTAAGTATTTTACAAGTAAAAATAATTAAACAAATGAGTGAGAACATAGTACTCAAAAGATTAAAACTTGATTTAGATTTATTACAATTCAGATGGATTTTGTTTTCGGCAATCAGTATTATGGAAGCAGTTGTTTATGAATAATAGTAACTTCAACAAGACATTATTTTACTGCCATTTTGTAAATAAAATAGGCAATTAGGAAGTCAAATGTTTGAAATAATCACATTCATATATTGCTAAAATTACCTGCATCCACCAACTACAAGAATCAGCTGGCGGTTGTCTGTTAGGGTAACCAGGAGTTGATATTTCTGTGTCTTCCGTTATGTTCCCTCCACAAGGAGGAAGATCTGAAGAAAATATAAATAGATATCAGGAAGAATGCACTGATATACATATATATTTAATTTATTTACATATTTATTTTTCTTGAGTAAAGTAACAAACTGTAGCATTCGCTTTTAAATCGATGAAAGGTTAACTTTCAGATACAACAATGAATTTATTGAATCGTTAAGTTTCACAAAAAGAAAAGCTACAATAAAAGGAAATGACGATATCGTTGCGATTTTTTATATTCTTCTGACACCAGTTGTTACGATATTTTCTTCCTTCACTTTCGTACGGGGTTCGTGTAGATTGAGTGAATAACGACGACACTTGATGAAGTATCGAAACACACTTTATTCGCCAGTATTGTCAGGACAGCTCCAAAACACGTTTTACAGTCGTCGAAGATCTACTATAAACACGCTGACACGATCAGCGACATAGCCTATCAGGCTATCACGGTGGAGACAGCTTCCTGCAAAGCACCCGACTCTGCTTGGTCGTTCTCGGAACTCCACGTGATCTCGAGACTCTCCTCGCTACAACTCGCGATGCACTCGACGACACACAGAACACAGCTCCTGACTCTCGGTTCAGACGTTTCCGGAGCTCAACACGCTCTCTTGACGATGCACTAACCGCGATACTCTACGAGACTCTTTCGGTGCACTCGACGACCCACTCGGCACTCGCTGGCCGGCTGTCAACGCGATCGCCTCCGCAGGGATTGACTCGCTAGACGAGACACACTGACTCGATGAGAGACGCACACTAACTGACTGTGGATCAAGCAGGGTTTATACAGCTGTCGGCTTGTGTTCGAGAACATTCCGGGCTAAACCGGTAAGAATTTGTTCCAGAAGGTTCTCCATCCGTCCATGGTACGTCACCAAATGGGCGATTTCTCGCCAAATGTGGCAACCCTGCCTTCCTTTGTCATTTTATGGCAACCCTAAAACTGCTTTGCTGGGTAGCCATTTCACCGCGCCTTTACATTTCGTAACAATATGTTTAAGTGCAATGACTACACGTCCTTTCACACCCAGCTTTCTCTTCCAATTCACTCCTCTGTCACTGAATGCTGTTTATACTATGCGGTTAAGTTATAAATTACAAAAGACCTTAAACACGGAGAAGCTGAAAAAGAGAAGACTGCCCGCATCTGAGTCGTGAAAAAATGCGGGGGATCGTTTAAACATCTAACTTTTCTGCATTCAGTTTTATAGAGAGAGAAATATAAAAGCAAATTGAATTTTTTGAATGAATGCAATTTTGTATAATGAAAATGGATTATTGAACGATAAACCATAAGGCAAATAGCATCTTTTTTTTAAAAGACGTAGGGGTAGAAAGATACATATTTAGTACATTAATGAATCCGTAGTGTATATATTGAGTTTTGCATTTCGAATGCAATGCTATATACTATATACGAAGTATCTGAGTAACTGAGAAAATAGTCTTAACTCAAATGGCTTTCAATCTTTTCACGTCTAAGGACCGTTTTCCAAATTACAAATACTTCGTGGTCGCTGCTTTTGGTTTAATTTTCTAATGCCATGTAAGCATTTAGCTGTTTTTGATTAGGGCATAACATGAATAAAATGACGCAAGTTACACCGCGGAAAGTTCTTAAGAATAGTTAATAATACTGAAAGAAGATATTAATAATACAGAAATATACATTATGGATGCAGTTTTGGGTTATAATACGTATTATTTAATATGATATCCTTAAATTATATATATATCATTATGTATAAAGGTATACAAATTTAACAAAATATGAAAAAAGATATAACATATCAAAGAAAAAATCTTAAATAAACCATGTTCATTAATGTAAATATATTTATGTAAAATCAACATTAATGGTTAGTTAGGCTTTTGAAGCAATTAGTAAATTTTAAATTACACACACACACACAAACACAAACACATATTGTTATGTGCATACGGGTTGGTAATAGACTTAATGCACAAGTCCGGTAATAGGTTTATAAAATTTATACTTATCAAAAGAAATAGAACAGAACTCTGGAATTTTCCTCAGAGATATTCCTACAAGTGTTCACAATATCACGCAGTATAATCAGTAGTTATACCTCAAACTACTAAAAAAGCGTTAAACACAACGCAAAGCAAAGCGCATCTAAAGAGAAAGCTAACTCCGATATCTCAGTTCAAGCGAAGCTAAATAACTCGCAACACAAATAACTATGCAACTGGAACCTTGACGCAATCTCTCTCTCTCTCTGGCCTTTTATACTTTTCAACCGTTCGCGAGCTATTTTTCGTACTTCGTGCTTCTAGAAATTACTGGAAAGCAGTATGAGAATGGAATTACGGTTGCAGCTAACATAGTGGTCAATTACATTTATTCAGTTTCAATACAAATTACCGAGATATTCATTTACTCAATGCTAAATGCACGTGCTCCTGTATTCTTACTTTTCCAGCGTAACTATCTCTTAAAATTTGTCTCTCGCTTCATTTCAAGGGGAAATAGAATGATTTTAATTGTAATTCTACTAAACTTACCTATCTAAATACAAAATTCTTAATATATATATGTCATAATAAAAGCACAAGGAAATGACGGAGCACTGTTAGATGCGTAGTTATCCTATACTGAAGAGGAAGTAATCTGATTGTGTCGTAAGCTAATGTGTTGATTTCGTAAATAAAACTTGGCAGTAGAAGCGATTTTAATTCCATTTTTATTTCCAATTGATATTTGTGGCCACAATCACTTGGCACTCTAGTCGTGCCTTTCCACAGAAGATTTACATTTTTTATATTGTTGGGATAGAAAGCGAGCCAGCGAAATTACATATTAGCAGAGTAGAGGGCAAAAGCTGAAGTGTGTAGTTTGAAAGATGGAAGCACGCGAAGAGAAAATTTTTGGTTTACAACGACAGTTTCAGTTCTTAATTATTACGTCATCGGAGTTGCGCGAGCCATAGAGTGATCTGGAAATGACGCAATGCAGATAAGTTATTACGATTTTAAAATAGAGAGGAAGAATTAATGTTTATAGTTATATTATAATTCTGATTCATACATTTTTTATCTTACGTATATATTTATATTTATATACATATATATTTATTTATATACATACATATATATATGTAAGATAAAAAATATGAAAGCAAACTTCTAAATTTAATTCACTATAACCTCGTTTATTTTTTTATTTCATTTGGGAACTTCATCTCTCTGTTCTAAAAATAGCGCTTAAGACTAAACTGTGTCATTCAAATTAAGAATGCGATCTTACGTAACCCTTAATGCAGATGCCGCTTGGCCAATCACCAAATTGCAAACCAAAACTTTTCTCTTCGCGTGCTTCCATCTTGCATAACTACGCACTTCAGCTTTTGCTCTCTGCTGTGCTAAGGTGTAATTTCGCTGGCTTGCTTTCTAGCTCAACAATATCAAAAATTGTAAATCACGACTAGAGTGCCAAGTGATTGTGGCCACAAATATCAATTGCGAATAAAAATGGAATTAAAACTGCCTCGATGCCACGTTCTTTAGATATTACCAAGTTAACATTATTAGCATACTACGCAATCAAAATCTTCTTCAATATGGATCTAAGCAAGCATCGATACAGCTTCCTTGTGATTTTATTATTACACATATATATATACTATATATATATGCATTTTATAAGTATATATACAATATAGCAATTTTTAAATTATATATGTATTGTTTGGTCTGGTGTATTTGATTAGAGCAAAACCTCGACAGCTATCTGCGTAGGGGTAGGGGTGCCTCCGAGGGGGCACTTTCTGAGCAAAATCGGCTTGTATATTTTTTACATATGGGGGAAATCACAAAAATGCCCATATAGCCATCCCGTTCACCGGGATTCGAAGGCCTTACCGTGTAGAGACATTAGGATTTTTTTTGGTGTTAGTGTTAGTGTTAGTGTTAGTGTGTGTGATTATGGCAAAGCCTCGAGGGCTATCTGCCTAAGGGGAGGGATGCCTTCGTGGAGGGCTCTCTAAGGGAAACTGGCTCGTATACACGTTACACATGGGGAAAACCACGAAAACGCCCATGCAGCCAGCCCGTTCGAGGGATTCAAACCTCGGACCGAACTACCAGTGTTCAGCGACTTTACCGCTCGGCCGCTGGTGGGCCCGGATTTTTTTTGGAAGCCAGAGAGATGAAAAATATGCAACCGCTTTCGCCGGGAATCGAACCACGGACCTCTGAAATACCGGCTCAGTGTGCAGAACCACTACACCACGAGGCTCGCTAGAAAAGTGGGAGAAATAAACCGAACTACCACTGTTCAGCGGCTTTACCGCTCAGCCTCTAGTGAGTCTCCTACCCACACCAACATATAATATATATATAAAGAAATTTAATAAGAGGCAAAAATTAAAAACAAATTTTTTAAAACCCGTCCTGCGCTATAGCTGCAGGACTGAAATAAAATATACTTAAAGCATCTAAAGCCAAAAGCAAATTTGAGTCAAAGCAAGGCGAATCCTTAACAACATTAATAATTGCACCCTTGTAAAGTGGTTAAGCATAAAATCAAAACAATTCAAAGTAAAAATGATCAAAGCAGTATAAACACGAAAACTAAAAATGCAAGAGTGGAAAATATATACAAGTTAGTAAAAATATAAAAATTAATCTACCTTTATTGCATCTCCCATTAAGAACGCATCAGGAGAAAATGAATTAAAGCTTTATAAAAGTTGATTAATGTTGATTTTCAAAAACGTGTTTCGTTCTCAGGGTAAATTTGAGATCAAAAACCGAAAAAAGAAAGAAATTTACAATACATAAAAATTCATACAAAACCGAAAAAAGTGAATATCAAATGTACCAGGAGTTTCCCTACACGTCTTCGAAACATTGGAAAAAGGGAAAAAAAAGCATAACATTGTATTAAATTGACTACAAAAGAAAGAAACTTTACAAATGTTAAGATGACCATTCGAAAAAAAAACCACAAATTGGTGTAAAAACATTATATGCAAATCCGAAA